ATAATATGCAAGCGAGCTTTAGAACTGAAATTGGGAGAATTTTGATTTATTTCGTACGCAGCACTCGTTAGACATGTAGTAGAACGTAGTTATAAATTATAACTATGTCGCTTATCACAATAGTTCGAATATAAAAATGAGAAAGAAACAGAGAGAGAGAGAGAGAGAGAGATGGAAACATTTATCTTAGAATGAAATCAAAGAGACAGCTTAAAGGCCAAAGCATGACCCTGGCACATGGTCGGCGTCCCTAGTCCAGGACACTGCATAAACTTTTGTATGTTTTCTATCGGTAAATAAACTGCTCACAAAAACGCCAGCATAGCTCATTGTCATTTAAAACGTGGTGGTTATAAAAATAATTTCAGGCTGTGTCGTGTCCATGCTGAAAGGTAATAGAACGCGAGAACGTTGAACAAACTCAAACAAATCCCGCCCACAACCCATACGTCCCCCAGAGCCCTTTCGGACTCACAGTATGCTGCACAACAAAGCGACCTAGCACTGCGGCAAAGCTTACAGTCAAAATCTGCAATTTCGGTTGAGTGATGCAGTGTTCTGTTTGTGCACTTTCGTACATGCCGATTGTGTAAAAGTTGGGTATTCGAAAAATTACGGTGCCTTCAATTTCAGAGTGACTCGTAGTGGTCCAATAAGGGCCTCAATATTTTCTAAGCTCTTACTTGCATATCCTGTTCAATAATGTTTGCTCACATATTTCATGCAATAATAATGAATGCTCACTACTGCCTGCTGTACCCATATTTTGCATTTTTTTCGTGCAGGCCGTTTATAGTGATTACAAGTTACAACAATGAAATATATATATATATATATATATATATATATATATATATATATATATATATATATATATATATATATATATATATATATATATATAACCACCTAACACATTTAGCTCTACTGGTGGTTGCGATAATGCAATCTATACCAAAATTGGGGCAATGACATAACATTACCGTATGGCGAGCATAAGTGACTAGCCATAACATGAAAATCATGACACGTATGTCATGAATGTCATGATTTACATGCCATGGTCTTGCCGCTCTTGCGGTGCTTTCGTTCGCATCACATATCGCAAAACCAGTATGGTCTGATATGACTGCATGTCGGACATAAGTGACAGGTCCTAACGTGGAAATCATGACATGCGTGTCAAGTAAGAACATGACTATATGCCATGCTCGTGATCCACTCGTGGCCGTTTTGCTAGCTTCACATATAACAAATACGGTGTTCCATGACGTGAATAGATGACGAAGTATGACATGATAATCAGGTCATGCGTGTCATGTATGAACATCACTACATACCATGCTCATGATGCGCTCCCGACCTAATATTACGCAAGCTTCACATATACGAAATTTTGTAATATGTAGCGTGAATGGATGACGAAGGTAAATAACACGTCCAAACATAATCATCATATGCGTGTCATGTAAAAACATGACTACATGCCACACTCATGATGCCCCCAGCTGTTTCGGTAGCTTGGCATATAATAAATTTGGTATTCCGTAACGTGAATGAACTACAAAAGTAAATGACTTGTTCAAAAATGATAATCATGACATGAGTGTCATGTAAAACATGACTACATTCTACACTCGTTACGCTCGCAGCCGTTTCGCTAGCTTCACATTTACGATATGTGGTATAAAAGACGAAAATATATGACTAGTTCAAACACGACAATAATGACGTGTGTCATGTAAGAATATGACTACAAGCTGCGCTCATTATGCGCTGGTGGCCGTTTTCCTAGCTTCGCACACACCTAATTGTGTACTACGTGACATGAATGAACGACGAAGGTAAATGACAAGTTCGAACATGATAATCATCACTTGCGTGTCATGCTAAACATGACTATCTGCTACGCTCATACCGCACTCGCAGTCATTTCTTTAGCTTTACATGCACCAATGTTGGCTTTACGTGACGTGAATGTCGAAGCTTGTTTTGTTAGCAATTCTAAAATACGAGTAGTGACCGGTCCACGCTTCACCATGACCCACTTTGCGCGACTTGGTGCCCACTGCCCACGTTAATTTGTCAGTGGGTCAATCACAGCTCTCAGGATATCTGATGTATTTGCTGTTCGTAGGCTTGCTTTTAGTAAATCACTACATCGTTCCCAGTTAGCTGAAACTAACTGATTCGCATATCCCAAAGCTCGCTGGATGAATACTTTGTGTATTTATTCATAATACTGAAGGCCTATATGGTGCCTCATGCAGGATGGGCAATACAATAACCAAATAATCACAAGATAAAGACAGTGCGACAGAAAAAAATAATGTGCAAACTGTACTTGAAAATAATGCAACATTTCACTTAATAGTGTAAGTGCGTTCTTGGAGTCTTGCTTTGCGACTGCAATTCTATTTTTATCTTTTCAAGTTTGGCTCAGACTTTTTTCTCAAAGGTGCAGTGGATTAGGTTGTATGGAGTCACGGTTTCACGCATCACTACTTATGGTCAATGCCAAATGAGCTTATATTATGTACTCAATATACGTTAATTGGCATACTAGTCGCATGCGGCGTCTTGCTTATTTCTACGCACGAAGAGCTAACAATGCAAAACTAGCATAACAGCAGGGGAAAATATGGTATCCCTTTCCGCATTAATTAAAATTTTAAAAAAGTGCAGTTCTTTTGTCGTAAAAGTATGCTCTACAATGATTAGTTCTTCAAGGTCAGTTGAAGTCTAACACAAATTTAGAACAAACATTTGTGAGGCTTCTCTTCACAGTTGAGAAACTTATACTATCGTATCGAGGCCGTAGTATTGAAAGCAAGCAGCTCACTGTATGTCTAAATGTACTGATGAGGAACTGTTATGGTGCGGTACTTAGTTTAAATAATGAAAATGGGTGTTTTTTTCTTGAACAGTGAAGGACACCAGCCAGTGAGTAGCTACCTCTCACCTCCAAAACAAGTTGTGGGCAGGGGGCTAGTTCGAAACGCAATTGATTACAAATGCAAAATTTAGATGCAGCTAGAGAGTATTAGCTTAAATTACTGGAAGCTACCCACAACCATGAATTGCGTTAAGCCACTCGTACATACTACTTTCTCAAGCCAGGGAACTTACCTTGCAACAACGAATAGATTTCTTCACATCCTGCTATGTGCTGATAAAGAAAGTTCTCCAACCTATATGTTTGTCATCGCGCTGTCACTGAAACCGCACATAAAGCACACTACGCATATAAGCCTAGTAGTTAACGTCATTAGGTTTAGTACAATGAAGAATTCCAAAAATAGTGTACCAATGGAAGCTCTCAATGACGCTGAAAGACCGAACAGGTCTTCTGAGGCACAAAACTGGCCTCAGATGCATTTGTATTATAGTGTTATCTAACGACTAAATTGGGCTCCTTTTGTTGATCGTATTTTCGTGGAATGATATGCATTAGCTGCATGCTCTCCACAGGATCAAACCCTGTTCTGAAATGTATCACTCATGTACGCGTCATAATCATTTAGCCTTATATTGTGGCACAAAGAACAAATTGCGCGCCACTGTGGAGATCTCAGAAGCAACTATTATTGTTCCACACATCTGTGCTAGATGGAGCGACAATGTCAAGCCGCAGGAATGTCCCCACATGGTGACAGGCCTTCTCCAAGTTCCTGGTCTAGTCTAGCAAAAAAAGTTGGCGTGACGAATGATGAGCATGAGTTCTCAAGTGAACCACACTGTGTATGAAAGGGCAATTTGGAAAGACGTCGAAAATTGATTTGAATTGCAACTTATTCCTTTCAATTCTTTTTATTACGTGCTGTTTGTTCTACATTTGTAATTCTCACGGGGCAGGATACCCGTCATTGCATACGCATTCCATTTTAACACGTTGAGGGGTTTAAAAATAATGGTTTGAAGTATGCAAGATGCGTTTCTTGCTGTTATCTAGCTCATCAAACAGAAATCGCGGTCCACATCAAACGTAGAGTGCTTCGCAGCGAAACAAGGCTAGCTTGCGGCAAAGCATTCAAATATTTATGGCCCCAGAAATGTAATACCGGCTCTTTGTTTCTCAGTATATATATACATATATATATATATATATATATATATATATATATATATATATATATATATATATATATATATATCCTTGTGTGTGTGTGTAGTTATAAAAAGATGACGCGTACTCCGATAGAATAAGCAAGAAATACTTTCGTTGGTTCGGCAGTGCAATTTTCACTACCGTTTTGTCTGATATGGTGACCAGACGAAACGTTAGAGAAAATTACACTGCCCTTTTTTATTGTAGATAGATAGATAGATAGATAGATAGATAGATAGATAGATAGATAGATAGATAGATAGATAGATAGATAGATAGATAGATAGATAGATAGATAGATAGACAGACAGACAGACAGACAGACAGACAGACAGACAGACAGACAGACAGGACAGACAGATAGATAGATAGATAGATAGATAGATAGATAGATAGATAGATAAATAGATAGATAGATAGATAGATAGATAGATAGATAGATAGATAGATAGATAGATAGATAGATAGATAGATAGATAGATAGATGATAGATGGATAGATAGATAGATAGATAGATAGATAGATAGATAGATAGATAGATAGATAGATAGATAGATAGATAGATAGATAGATGATAGATAGATGATAGATAGATAGATAGATAGATAGATAGATAGATTGATAGACAGATAGATAGATAGATAGATAGATAGATAGATAGATAGATAGATAGATAGATAGATAGATAGATAGATAGATAGATAGATAGATAGATAGATAGATAGATAGATAGATAGATAGATAGATAGATAGATAGATAGATAGATAGATAGATTCAGCAATGGTGTAGCAACATAATGGTGACCAAGTTCATCTAGTTGCACCTGAACCTCATGTAGTTTCTCATCAGCAAAATCTATAAAATACCTTCTAACTCTCTCATCCGGCATCGTTGCAGATGTGTCCTTTCAAAGTCCCCTCACAGAGGCACAACAGCTCGTCAAAGGTGATGACCTCAATTTTTGGTACTCTGCTGCGTCAGTTATGATTTCAACTCTTCAAGTCAATATTCAAATAAATGCTGCATACGACAGGCGTTCAATGTACAAACTTTTTTTTTGTTCTCTGCTGCGTCCAGCATTTCCGGATGAGCCCGTTGGTCACCATCCCAACAACATCGCAGGTGAGAACTGGTGGTCTGTAGTTTCTCCGAGTGGCATACAAACAATATGTCCTAAAGAGCTCATTTGCTGCCATCTAAACTTAGAATCTAGAAAGACCACTGATCACTAGTTTGCTTTATTACACTTTTTGGTTAAAGGCGGTTGTAAGACTCCCTTTACTGTTCAAAAGTTTCGTGGCTCGGGCGAGTTGCTTTTTGATGAATTTAGCTTGTATTAGTGCGGCACATATGAAAATAAAAAGCAGGAAAGATGACAGAGACGTCTTACAAAAGTAGGCACTAAAAAAATTGGCAGCATATCTACGGAGTGAATGATGGAGAGTGGGGCGAAGCATTCGTCTAATCCATTCGTTCTTGCTTCCGTCCGTCCATGCGTCTGTCTGTGTGACCATCCATGCGTCCATCCGCCCGTCCGTGCGGGCGTCTGTTCGTGCGTCCGTCCCTGCGTTCGTCCATGCATCCACCCCTGCGTCCGTTCATGCGTCCATCCATGCATCTGTCTGTGTGTGCGTTCGTCCATCTATTCAACACTCCAAGTACCACCATCTCGCATCTTTTCATCATATATTCCCTATATAGAAGCACCGCCATCCAGCGGACATTCCAAGGACTAAACGAGAGGTGGCACACGCACACTTCCTTACGGCTTGGGCTTCGTGTCTACTTCCAACCTTTAACCACATCGAGTTCATGGTATATACTAGTTCACTGCATTCATGAAGCTGCGCCCCAACGCTCGCTAAGCTTTCTAAAACCAAGGAGGTTACGCCCAGCGAGTATAACGTAGCAACCTTTCTCTGTCAGTCAGTGCCCAATGTACCTGCCAATGGCTGCTAATGAGAAATGAGAGACATGAGAATTCGGCTTTTACTTTCTTATGGCTTGCGTTCGTATTTATTTCCCACCTTTAAACACCTCGAGTTAATGCTATATACTAGTTCATTGTATTCATGGCACTGTGGCTCAACGCACGCTAAACCTTTCTAAAACTAAGGAGGTAACACCCAGCGAGTATAACGTAGCAACCCTTTCTTGTCATAGTGCTTAATGTACATGCCAATGGCTGCTAATGGGGATCGCAGCGTGCGCGTTAACTAAAAGACGACTGCTCCTGTTTCTTGTTCCTGCTCAGCAGTCATTGGCATGTACATTGAGCACTATCTTTGATTGTTCAACAACGCACAGAAGAAATCTCTCACCGGCACCACATTGGAGGTCAAAATGTTATACTTGTTACACACTAACACGGCTACGAGGGACGAACAAGTGCCGCTATAAGGAGCTTCGCCCTGTGCTCGTGTTCCCTCGTTGTCGTCGTTAGCGTCTCAGGGCATCCCTGGGCTGGCGGGCGCCCGCCGTAATGGCAAGCCAGCCCCCGAAGAAGGCGCTAGCCTTCGACGTAGTCGTCCCCGAGGGGACTAGTCCCGAAGACGTCGTTGACGCGACGTCTTCAATAGTAGGAATCGAAGAGGTCTACTGTGTACAGCACTTTGGAGGCCGGAATTACCAAGTCACTGTTAACAGTGAGGCCGCTCTGGCACAAATCGTTGACGCATCCCCCCCTCATCATTAGAGGAGAGCGCGTTGCTGTCGTACCCTTGGGACCCCAAGTCACTCAAATCACCGTTCTGTTCCTGCCGTGCCGCGTCCCCAGCGAGGTCCTCGCGCAAGCGTTGTCTCCCTATGGGAAGGTGCTGCACATCAGCAGAGGACTCATGGGGTTGCGCCCAACTTTGACCACTAGGACGCGATTTGTCCTGATGAAAATGAAGACATCGTCGCCGGTGCCCAACTACCTCAAGGTCGCTGGCCATCGAGTGACCTGTCACTATAAAGGGATCCAGCGAGTGTACCGTCGATGTGGAGACAGTGGGCATTTCCGCATGATTTGCACAGCTCCGTTTTGTGAAAGGTGCGGCGTTTACGGCCACGACGGGAAGGGCTGCTCGCTGCCGTGTCGCCGTTGTGGTGACCCGCATGCCACCGTCGCCTGCATCATCAGGCGGTCGTATTCCGAGGCGGCCCTTAAGAATTACCCGCCACTTCTATCAGGCAAGAATAAGGACGTCGTATCATTGACGCTAGGCCCGGATATTTGCCAGGATGAAATTGGGTGCATGACAACACCACACCAGACGCCACACCAAACGCCCACAGCGTCTCCAGCCAGCCCCGACCAGGCAGCCCCTCAAGGTGCGGATGATCCACCTGGCGGCCCGCGACCAGTGGTGGTTCCCACAGAACCACAGGTCGAGCCCTCACCAGAGGAGGCGCCACTCGGCGAACGCGTTGCAGTTGCTGACGTGATATCTGTTGCTCACCCCATGGCTGCCCAGTCCTCTGTTAGCCCTCCTATGATTGAAGAGACTTTGTCCCAAGGTGACGAGGTTTCCATCAACGAGGACTCGAGCAGTACTAGGAGTGACATGGCCCTGCAGATAGACACCAACAGCACTCCAAGCGCGATCAGCCGAGACAGATTTGACGAATTTGTGCCGTCTTCACTCAAGAGCCTTGGCACCAAGCGCCACCGAATATCCAGCAGCGACTCGGAGGCCCCCAGCAGAGACAGAAGTCCCCTGCGGACTTCGATGCGGCCCCGGAAGCCGCGCGCTTCCGGTGGGTCGCCTGGTCGTAAGAAGTGATTGAGCTTCTTGCGGGGCACCCGCTCCCACGTCTGTCAGAACTGAGAGTCTAGTATCCAAATTTGTGTTTATTGTTTACGATGGCTACCGCATTGAATATTATTTCCTTAAACGTAAAAGGTTTTCGCAGTCCGGTAAAGAAGGCCGAGGTGATTAGTGTAGCCCATGCTGCAAATTGTGATGTTTTATACCTGCAGGAACCTAATTTCTGTTTACTCTCCGACGTAGGGCTTTTAAACAATAGTTTAACTTAGATTGCTATTTTTCTTTCGCTACAACTCCTTTTACGGGAATAGGTATCATTATATTTAATCGGGCTTTATTGAGAGGTCACCACGTTGTTTATGACGGCGTCGGTAGAATTGTTGCTCTACATTGTACCTACTTTTCTGATCGAATGAGGATACTATGTGTGTATGCGCCTGCACAAACTGGACAGCCTAATGATTTTTTTTCGAAATTTGGATGTTTTTTCCCTAGATGGTCGTCATGTAATTCTGATTGGAGACTTTAATTGTGTGCTAAATACACGATGCGATGTACAAGGTCGTGGCTGGGGTCGGTCTGCTTGGAATTCACGTGAGCTGCGACGCCTTGTGCAGCATTTTTCATTGCTGGATGAGCATAATGTCAAGCACGGGAATACTTTTGTTTGGACGTGGCGCCACGGATACTCCTCCAGCAGACTCGACCGGGCTTATATTCCACAAGATTTAGAGACGTTTGTCTCCGACTTACGTGTTCCGCCCATCCCACCTTCGCCTGTGTACATCTCTGACCATCGTCCGATTCTCTTAGAACTAAAAATTCCATTTTCTTTTTTTGGAGAAACCATGGCGTCTTGATGTTTGCGTCCTCCAGGACGCGTGCTCTCGGTCAAATTTGTCCCGTGCAATACGCGTGTCACTCACTGCGTCTGATTCATTCAATTGGGTTGCGCTTAAAACCCAGTGGCGCCTGCACTGCTCAGTTGAAGGGCGTTCCCTTCGTCGTCGCGTTTCTGAGGAGCTCGCCGATACTGCAGCAAAGTTACGCATCATGCGCGCTGAAACGCCGTCCCCCTGATGCGAGCTTGCCAACATGAATTACGTGAACGCTTCCAGTGTTTGATTGCCGTCTCGTCTCTGGTAGCGGCTGCATGGCGTTGTAGGCACAACCCTTGTGCCCACCCCGAGGTGCTCCGCTATGCAAGGCAATCGTGTTTTAGGCAGTCACAATCGCCTGTTTTTACGACCACGCAGACACCGCCTACACAGCCGCTTCCTACGCGTGATCAATCTCTCTTTCTGGCGCATTTTGAAGAGATGTCATGTTCCGCCATGCGCACCAACTGTGATATAATACCACCTATGCTTAGAGGTTTGCCTCGGGTTCCTCGACAAGCTGCTGAATCTCTGCACGTCCCTCCATCAGTTGAAGAGGTAAAGGCAGCACTACAATCTATGAAACAGGGGACAGCCCCTGGGCCAGACCGTTTTCCAGTTGAATTTTACTTGTCATTTTTGAATGAGTTTGGTACTGCATTAACCGCAGTTATCCGGCGATGTTTCGAGGATGGTGTCTTTCCATTTTGTTTTCGAGATGGATGCATTGTGCTTATTATAAAAGGTGATGCTTCTTCTGTTAATCCTGAAGATTGGAGACCTATTACGTTTCTTAACGTTGACTATAAGATATTTTCGACGGTGGTTGTTCAACGTTTGAAGGCTCTGTTGAACACCCTTGTGGGTGATCGCCAGGCTTCATCTATGCCTGGACGAGAAATACAAAGCTTGTCCTATACCACCCGGGATATCATAGTCTATACTCTGTCGCGATCGGCACGTGGTCTTTTTGTGTCTTTAGACCAAGAGAAAGCATTTGACTGACTGGAGCACACGTATATCTTTAAAGTGCTCACAGCCCTTGGTTTTCCTGGTACTTTTGTTGAATTAATTAGACATACCTACTCTGGCATAGAAAGCGCACTAGTTCTAGATGGTTGGGAGAGTGCTGCCTTTTCTATTACACGTGGGGTCAGTCAAGGATGCCCCTTGTCTCCTGTTCTATTTGTCCTCATTCTTGAGCCATTTTCGTGTGCTCTAGAAGCAGATTCGCAAGTCCGGGGTCTTGCGCTTCCCGGCAGCAGTACCGTGAAAGTCACAGCTTTTGCTGACAACATAACCCTGTACCTTTCAGATGAAGATAGTCTTTCACATAGCCTGCGTTTATTCTTCTAGTATGGGGACATTTCAGGTGCCGCGCGAAACGTCTCTAAATCCCGGTATTTGTTCATCGGCTATCCCAACTGCACACTTAGCTCCACATCTCTTCTTCAGACGGCTGCGTCTCTTCGCGTTTTAGGAATTCTATACAACCACTACGGCGTTTTGTAACTCCGTTTGGTCAAACGCCCTCGATGAAGTAAAACAAAAAATTGAGAACGCCTGGGAATTCGACTTCCCGCTTCTTGAGCGGAGGTATCTTGCGCAGACTGTGTTCTGCGGTCGCATTTGGTACCTTTCTCACGTGGAACAGCAGCCTTTACGCATCGTGAGGTCATTGCAGTCGGCCTTGTGTTTCTTTTTTGGTCTGGTCACACTGAGTTGGTTTCTCGTGCGGCGTTAGGACAGCAGCGTTCCCAGGGAGGTTTTGCTTTCCCTTCGGTATCAATACGCTGCCGGCTATTGGCCTTGCGCTTCCTGTTGCGCCTCGTACAAGGAGAGGAATCCCCCGCCCGAACTCTGGCATATTATTTTCTAGGCACTCACCTTCGGTATTTATTGCCTAATGTGCGCCTTCTTCGGGGCCCACAATAAGTACTACTTCCTTCGTTTTATGCAACAGCTGTCGCATTTTTTCGTCATATCCAGTCAACTTGTCCTGAGTTAGATGTGTTAGACGGTCCTATCGTTGACACAACAGCCGCTTTATTGCTCCCGTTAGTTCCTCCGGCATGCCACCCCCGCTCTAGTCGTGTGTCTTGGAGCACGCTGACGGCATCATTTCTATCTGGCCACCTCCGGGACTTCATGTGGCGGCTGGGGTGGGGCGTTCTTCCTACCCTTGACCGCCTCGAAAGGTGGAGAATGGTCCAGTCATCAACATGTCTGAACTGCTCCTTACGGGGAAACAAATCAGCATGTTTTAAGACAATGCGTCGTTGCTCGTGTCTTCTGGAGGGCTGTGCATGCAGGATATCGTGGCCTTGGAGTAAGCCGCTTTGTTTCTTCTGGACGTTGTTCTAGAGGCTGCTTTGCCTGCCTTCTCATTGTTGCTGGTGCCTACTGTCTTTGGCGTAACCGTTGTGGAGCTGTTTTGCTAGCGTAGCGTCGCTGCGCCCAGCGTGGGCGCGCGTGAATGGTACGTGCGCTCGCCGCCGTTTCGCCCGCTTCACATATACCAAGCTTCGTATTACAGGACGTGAATGGATGACGAAGGTATGTGACACGCCCAAACATGATAATCATGATATTCGTGTCGTGTAAAACGTTACTACAAGCTACGCTCGTAGCATGCTCGCGACCGTTTCGCTGGCTGCACATATACCAAATTCGATATCAGGTTACGTGAATATATGACGAAGGTAAATCACACGTCCAAACATGATAATCATGACATGAAAGTCACGTACGGCATCATTTGCTTCCACGTTACATTGTTGTGCTGATTTTAAAGTTACATGTCAAGCTTCCTCATTCGTGCTTCGCATATCAGCGAGTGCCACTGCAAGTGGGATATGCCAATTTTTTTTCCGCATGGAGTCGTACAAGCAGAATAAACAACTTGAACGCCTGTGCAGGTCACCGCCACGAAGACTTCGGCGCCGCCGGCCCTGTGGTGGTGATGCTGGGCTGTCTGTTCCTCATATTCTTTGCCGTGGGAATCCCCACGTTCATTCAGAAAAAGCGCCGAGAGGCCAAGGAGCGTCGCGAGGCCATCCGCCGACTGGAAGCCGCAGAGCGCAGAGGCGTCGCCGAAGGAATCTCGTTCCAAGCGCCCTCCATGGATAGCTGAGCGACGCCGCTAGGCCCCTTGCAGAGGCGCCTCGAAGTTGGCTAAATACATTGCTTGAGTGCTCATCACTCGAGAGTTTGTGTGCTGCATCCCCATTGAAAGGAATAAAGGAAACTGAAAGAGCCTGTATTATACAACTCAGTGCCCCAAGTCACCTGTGCGGCCACACTATCATCATAAACAGCAGCAGCAGCACCATTATGATCAGACCTTGAAAACTTGCGTAAGGTGATGCACACTTTGTTGATGCTGTGGTGGTGGATGATGACGCATTATAGCTCATTCTTTCGTAATGAAGATGATGATGATGAACAAACTTCATTTAATTAGCAGAAAGGTCCTCTTCCCCTTTCAGGTGCGAGAGGAGAAGGGAGGACCAAACCTAGACGACGGCCATGATCCCATGGGCCCTGGCGGCGTCTTCGGCCTGCCGTATTAAGCGGGCTTGTATTTGAGAGTCAGAGCTGAGGAGCGCGGCATCCCATCCACTCCCGTCTGGAAATTCGCCTCTCATGGGGGCCTGCGGGCATGCCCATAAAATGTGGCTCAAGTCCGCCCTGTTGTGGCAAAATTTACACTTGTCCGAATGAAGTTCCGGCACGCAACGGTTCATTGTTACCGGACTGGGAAACGTGTGGGTCTGGAGTAGGCGCCACGCCACCGCCTGTCCTTTGTTCAATGACGAGTGTGCGGGAGGATAAATTTTCCTGCTTAGCCTGTAATACTGCGTAATATCTCTGTAAGTGGTCATCCGCTCAAATCTCTCATCGTCCTCCCCGTTCGACCAGGGCAATCCAGAGGCTCGGTCTGTAAGTCCTCGTAATGAAGATAAGAAATGTTAATTTAGGGGCCCCTTTTCTTTTAGGGACGAAGCTCCTTAAGGCATGGGCTGTGCGTCGCCTGTATTCACTGTGGCTAGAATAGGGAAGTGTGATGAGCGGCAAGCGGTGCCAACGGAGCGCACTGAAGCCTCCGAGGAGGAGCCGCTTGGAGGCGTGCGATGTCGTTTATCCGTTGTTTGCGCGTTTCGGACAGTTTGGTCGGGCGCGTTCGTTCTCACTTTTTAGGGGCGAAGCTCCTTAAGCCTCATTCACACCGAAGGCGGCGCGGCAAAGCGGCGAGGTGGCGAGTGCGTGAACCTGTTGACCGCATGCCTCCTTCGCCTGGCCGCGCGGCAGAAGAGGCGGGCATCTCGCGATTTTGTGCACGTGCCACTATGACGTCTCAGTCGTTCTCCTAAACGTACCCCCACGTCACCACCGCACCTCCACTGCGTGGCGTTCTGATTGGCTGCGGCAAAGCGGCGAGCCACGGCAGGCGGCAAAAAATTGCTCCGAGAGCAATCGGCCTTGCCGCCTGGTTTTTTTCCCGTTTTCGCCGCTTGGGAAGGAGGTTTTTCCCGCTTCCCGCATTGCCGCATCGCCGCTTTGGCCGCCCCGCCTTCGGTGTGAACGAGCTTTTATAGCGGCACCCATTTGTCCCTCGTAGCCGTCGTAGTAGTGTGTAACAAGTATAACATTTTGACCTCCAAGGTGGTGCCGGTGAGATATTTCTTCTGTGCGTTGTTGAACAATAAAACATAGTGCTCAATGTACATGCCAATGGCTGCTAAGGTGGAATGAGAGACATGAGAATTCAGCTTTTAGTTAACGCACACGCTGCGAATTTTTTGTTGTTCAACAACGCACAGAAGACAAGAAATTGTTGCTACGTCATACTCGCTGGGCGTAACCTCCTAGGTTTTAGAAAGATTTAGCGAGTGTTGGGCCGCAGTGCCATGAATACATTGAATAGTATTTACCATGAACTCCAGAGGGTTAAAGGTGGGAAGTAGACACGAAGCGCAAGCCATAAGAAAGTGTGCGTGTGCCTCCTCTCGTTCAGTCCTTGGAATGTCCGCTGGATGGCGGTGCTTCTATATGAGGAATATATGATGAAAATATGCGAGATGGTACTTGTGTTGAATAGGTGGACGAACGGACACACATACAGATGCATGGACGGACGCACGGATGGCTGCACGGACGGATGAACGCATGGACGGACGCAGGAGCAGATTCATGGACGAAAGCAGGGGCGGATACACAGATCAACGTGCGGACGCACGAACAGATGCATGCACAGACGGGCGGATGGACGCACGGGCGGCCACACAGACGCACGCATGGATGGACGGAAACAAAAACGAATGGACGGACGGATGCTTCGCCCCACTATCCATAATTCACTTCCGTGGATATGCTGCCATTTTTTTGTTGCGGTGGCACTCTGACAACAATGCTTCTGTATGCACTCTCTTGGCGCGAAAGCAGTCGTTTCCTTGTCCCAGGGTGCACTACAGGCTACAAGCCAGCTAAAGAGAAGCATGCGTTGTTCGGCGTTCCAGTGGCCGAAGCTCTGTTTGCGGAGTGGCGGAGGGCGATGCCGCGCGCTCACAAGCTGTTTCAAGAAAACTCGGCTGTGTGCGAGCTGCACGTTGACGAGAAGTACATCCCCGGCAATTCGAGCACACTGTGAATGGCGAAATTGTCCGCATTGAAAGGGGTAGTTCATAGGCGTGCTTGCCGTTCAGGGAAGGGGGAGGGGGCGAACGTTCATTGCAGGGCGCCTCCTCCCTATTAAATCAGTGTAGGAGGCAGATTTCGCGCCCCCCTTTTAGATGACTAAAAGTGTGCCCCGCTGCCTAGTCAATGCAGAGAGCAGATTTAGCACCACCCCCCCTCCAAGGTGACTATAAGGGAAGGGGGGGGGGGCGCCCGACTTTTCCCAAGGCGCGTTCATTACTTTTCTATTCTAGCCACTGTACCAGTATCCACCTCTCGTTTTGTTCTTGCAGTGTTCACTAGAGGGCGGTACTTTAAGCTGATGATGAAAAGGTGCAGGATGTTATAAACTAGACGGCGGTACTTGTAGTTGATGATGAAAGATGCGAGATGTTATAAAATAGGAATCATGTCACATATGGCGCGTGTCATTGGTGGAAGGCAATCGTTTGATTTAGTGCGGCGACATACGCTAGGGGGAGCGTTGTAATAAAATCGAGTGGGCAAAATGTACGGACGATTCATGGTTTACCAGGTTTACCTCCGCAGCTTCGCCCACTGATCATCATTCACTTCGTAGATACAGTGGCACTTTTTTTCAGACTCAATAAGATTGAGAACAGACAACACAGCCAAGGAAAGTATAGGGGATGTTAGTAGTAGTAGATATAATTAAATGTGAAGAAAGAAATGCGAACAAAAAGATAACTTGAAATAGTTATTTTTTCACTCACTTTTATTTCTTCACATTTGCATTACAATAAAAACACCTATACTTTCCTTGGCATCGTTGGCTGTTATTTCTCGTTAAAAACTGGGGAACCCTTATGCTTCGTCTTAAGGGGCCGAACGCGATAGTGATGTTCTGTTTCTAGTGCGTACTTGAAACACTTAGTGCATAGTATCTTTTCGAAGCTGCTATAGATACGTGAGAAAATAGGCGCAATAACGTGCGTATCATTTGTAGTGGGCGACCGCCTTTAAACCATCAAGTCATTATGATAATCCCATGTTCGGACGTCCGATGGCAATGGACACTTGTAGAAAGCATTACTACGGCAATATTTCGTGTTATATTGTCAACCATGTCATGTATACAGGGCGCGCGTGTTTGTAAAGCGTGAAAGTTACTTTCACTGCATTTCCAAACAGAGGAAGCTACTTTCATTGCCGTCACAAGCAGATGCGTAGCGTTGTACCTGTTTCGGGTGTGGGAAATGGTGGTTTGAATTTGTAGCACATGTTTCTGCTGCATATTATGAAATGTTTCTGGTACCTTCGCCATGTCCAGGACCATTTTTTGCGCACTGTTTGTCAACTGCGATTGGCGAGTGCTCTCCCGGAGTTTGTTGTGTCTTCTGTTGTTAGATTGGATGGTATAGCGCAACACTGCTTCAAGGAAATCGTCGAGTCCTTTCGCTTCCTGAAAACGTTTTTCTTTTAAAATTTTAGGCACAATTTCTTTTTAAAAAATGTATGAAAATCTATGCGATGATGTTGTTCCAGTTCTATTGTAGCCCTCTTAATACTGTGGTGGAACATGCATCAAAGTGTTAAAGTGCGCTGAAAAGCATGTCTTTCGTCCCAGGATAAAGGATTTTTTCTTCAAGCTTGCCAGTTAAGACGTGGATGTCTGACAAAGGTTTATTCGTTCCGTGGGGTGATCACTCCGATCGGTATCGGAAGCCCGAAACAATTGAACATGTTTTTTTTTATTCTTGGAACAGTTTACACTGGTTCCCCGTGCACATTAGGGAGGTAGAGGGAGTTCCCGCCAACCCAAACGAGGTCGCGAACGAAGCCGCTCGAGGATTGACAGACCACCCCGCTTCCGATACCCTTCCTTACCCCGGCCACAGGGACGCACTATACTTGTATAACGAATTGACTAAATTTTCGATTTGCACGAAGGGCTTACCCTCCTCCTCACCCTAAACTCAACAAAACCCAGGCAGTCCCCTTCGGCTACTCTACACCAAAACCTATCCAAGTCCTGCGTTTCTACATGACATATGCCCTGGCGTTTTCCCGAACGACCTGTGTTCGTCGTTTAATGACACAACAATATTATAGCATATACTCGGCACGTTCCAAGACAAGAACTCAAGCTTCACAATGGAGGAGTGAAAGACGCTTCTACGCAGCCCAGCTTTCACTGATCAGCTCACGGCTGTCCAGCGGGCCCGCGAGGTTGCCAGCAGGCTCGGCTTGCCAGTCCCTACGTGGGGCTGAGCCGGGTACGTGACTCTGTCGCGTTCCGCAGGACGAAAATAAAGTTACTTTCCTTGTTGGAACGGGCAGTTCTACTGAGATGTCCTGCAAAAGACATTAAACAAAGATCTTTTATAGAATGCACAGGGAATGAGGTATCAAGCCATTGATAACGAGGATGGATTTCCGTATGGCATTGCCATGCTCTTGGCTCTCCATAGCATTTAGAGATCGCGCATGCCTATACGTCAAGCTGATGTCAATCCTCGACGAGCTGTAGAATA